TCAGTCCCTGCCCTGCACTGAAGGTCTGTTTGCCAGGTATCACATTTCTCAGCTTGAGGGAAGAGAAAGTGAGCTGGAGGGAGCAGCTGGGAGCCTGGAGTGGGTGCCAGCTCCTATCAGCTTACATCAGCCAGACTTGCCTTCTGTGGGTCTTTGTTAGGTGTTTAATCCTCTGATGGTCATTGTGGGGGGGGAGCTCCCAGGATGGTAACCACTCACCCTGCTTTGCCTGGGACTGTCCTGGTTTTAGCACTGGATGTCCTGCCCTGCCTCCCAGGAGGCCCCTCCGCCTCAGGCGGACCTGGGTTCCCAGACCTGCCAGGGCAACAAGGTCAGCCACATGCAAGGCAGAGTGTGATGCGTTGTTCTGTCTGCGGAGGCGCCAGAGCTGAGCAGGGAGGGTGAGGTCTGACCATCCTCCTCCAGTGAGAGATCCAGGCCGCTGGGTCAGCTCCCAGGGACCTGCGGAGGAGCCAGGGAGGGCAGCCCCCCCCCCCCGCCCAGAGCAGTGGATCTCTGCCCCCAGGCCTGAACCCGAAGGTGCAGCAGCCTCACCGAGGGCCCACCCTCAGCCTTGCGGCTTCCTGGCTCTCAGATGCTGGGGGCGGGGGGGGGGGGGCAGAACCTGATGGCAATCTCCAGCAGATGCTTTTGTTTGGCAGCTACTCTGTCTCTGAGAATAAATGGAGTGGGATTGTAATGGAATGTTCCCACGGGCACACTATTCAGTTAGAGAGGCATGTATTCAACAAGCAGTTTGTGGTGTCTACCGCATCCAAAGGACTGAGTTTACAAAAGGGAAAGCAACCAAGGGCCTGCCTTCAAGGAGCTCCTCGTCTCGTGGGGTAGGCAGCGAGAAGCAGGACGGACTGTAGGTGCTCTGGGAGGAGGCAGAAATGTGCTGTGGGACTCAGTCTCCCTCCTTACGGTGCTGAACAGTCTCCAGGCTCGACCCTGGACTCTGTTTTCCAACCAGCCTCTGTGGTTGGCCCTGTTGCTGTCGCTTCTCTTTTTGGCTTTGCATCCTTCCCTTACTTTATAACGTTACACTCTGTCCTTCAAGTTTTTGTAGTAAATGCCTGGCAAAGCCCTGAAAGGTATCGTAGAGAGGAAAGGAATTCCGCGTTGACCGTGCTGCATGGGAAGGAGCCTGGCCTGCCAGCAGTGAGAGGTTCAGGAACCTCATTCCCAGTCACACAGGGAGCGGTGGAGTGGGAGCCTGACAGCTGATGGGATGTGGACCCTGCGCTTTTCCAGAAGGAACAGAGACTGACGTCTGGCTCGCTTCACTGGCGGGGGCGTTGCAGGTGTGTCCCAAGTGTTAGCTTCCTCCCCAGGTGCGTCAGTGCTTTCTGATGTCAGGGCCAGGAAGACCCTGAGCAGGTTCACAGGCGCACGCGGGAAGTGCGGGGTATGTTCACTCTGCTGCTTTTTCAGCGAGAGAGTTCAGAAGGTGTCCAGTAGCGGTCTCTGACGTCTGGTCCAGAAGAGGTAACTGCTAGGCCAGTGACGGGACATGGGCTGCGCTTGTCCAGGGTGAGCGGAGCTTGGGGCAGACCCCCGCTGTCTGAGGGACCCTGAGGTCCGGCTGGCCTTGGACGGATGAGGAAACTGAGGCCCAGAGTCACACACGCTGTCTCCTCTAAGCTGACGAAGGGCTGTCCAGAGCTTTGTTAGTTTCTGTCTCCTATGCCTCGGGGTGGAGTGGGGGGAGCTACAGGCTTGCATTTTCACAGGGCCCACAAATACCTGTGCAGAAGCCCAGAATGAGTGGGATTGGACTGCTTGTTCAGAGAGCCTTCTGGGGGAGGAGCTCTGGTTGTATCTACTGCTCAGAACCGTCTGTTAAGTCCCTGCGGAAAAGGTCCCTCAGCCTGGCAGTTCAGCACCACGTGGAACAAACCGCAGAGCGTCCTTCAGCTGCCTTCCCCCACCGGTCAGCAGCGGTCTCTCCTGTAGAGGCTGCCTGGCAGAGGTCAGCTTCCCCTCCGCCCGCTTCGCCTGTCTGCTGCACGTCGGACCAGAGGAGTGGGCGCCCTGGGGCTGCGTCTGCATGTTGTGCGGGGCCAGCGCTGGGGGTAGGAACGGTCTTTGTAATTCAGTGAAGGAAACCTTGTATGTATGTGTTTTAAAAGTTTAGTCATTGCTTCAGTGGATAATTTTTAAAAAGAAAATATTTTGTCTACCAGATTAACTTTCCTCAAAGGATAACTGATGTAGACAGATGAAGGGCGCGATGCCTGTGGAGTTCGCCTGCAGTGAGGAGTTTGTGTCTGTCCTGGCAAAGGTGTTGAGAAGACAGTTAAGTATATGGAGCAATGTCTAGGCTGGATAGCAATCAAGATTTTATTAAAACAAAACAAAATAACACAAGATAAAAATTGCATAACTATGTGTCATGACAGATTTTAACTAGACTTACTGTGGTAATCATTTGCAATATATACAAATACTGAATCACTGTTGTGTACCTGAAACTAATATAGTGTTACCTGTCAATTGTATCTTTAAGAAATGAAAAATAATAAAATAAATGAAATGCTGACTCCTTCAAAACAAACCAGACATCCCAAAGGGATAATAATAAGATGCATCTTAAGTAAGCAGGTATTTTATTGCATCTAGGTTTTGTTAGTGGTAATAAAGTAAGCGGAGACAGGCAAGCACTATTCAAATGGGGTAAAAATAGGGATTTTTTTAGCCACAAGTTAAATTTGAAAGCTACAAGTGCTTAAAAAACAACAACAAGGGAACCTGCGACTATATAAGTACAACTTGAAAAATAGGGATGGTGTTCAAGCACCTTCTCTGGGCATGCACAGCGGCGAGCACGCGGCCACATCTCCTGCCGCAAACAGCCCTGCGGGTGTGCATGGTGTCCCCAGGCAAGCTCCAGCCCCCGAGCCCCTGAGCGCCCATGCACAGCACCCTGCCCTCGCCTCCCCGCCTCTGCTGGCTGCTCCTCCCCCTCCTGGAGCCCCACATCCCCTTCCTCCCGCCTGGGGTTGAGAGCTCTTTGTCTTTAAGCCCACGCAGCCCTTTCTCCAGGAAGCCTTCCCTGGCTCCCCTAACCCCTGGGGGCTGAGCAAGGTGTGTAATCACTTGTCTCACTTCCCGAGTAGCTGTGAGCGTGCCGAGGGCAGGGCTGTATGTTCATCTCGGCATCACTGGGTATTATTGGACTCGCTGGCGTCTGTGCTTGTCAGACTAAGACAGGGGCGTCCTGCCAACAGTAGGACCCAGGCACCCAGAGAGCACATGGCAGATCAGGACTCTCTAGGGGAAGGGGCCTGGAGTGGCAGGGGGCTTTAGCTTTGTTGTGCGAAGAATGGCTGGAAGAACCAAGACGTCCCTTCAGTTGTCTACTGGACCGGCAGAGCTCTCCAGAACTTTTACCTCTGTAACTGTGGAGGACAGGGAGCAGAGGTCCCTCAGAACAAGGAGGGCTTGCCTGACAATTAAACCAACTGTTAGGACAACAGAACGGGCTGCTCTGGAGAGCGCTGAGTTCCCCGCTGCCGGCTTTGTTCAGAGGCTGGGTGTGCACTTAGGGCTGCTGTTGTCCTGAACATGGAGGGTTTTGGTCGTCTCTGGCACTCTCTCCACAGTCCGCGTTCATCAGGCATCTACTGTGCACGCCCGGTTCTGGAGCCACGGCGGGGATGAGACCGGCGTGTCCCTGCCCTCGGGGAGCCTGCACTGTAGCAGGGGGTGTCACTCTGGGTCTTCCAAGAAGCAGACTCCGAGACCCTGCAGATGGTTAGATACCAGCGGTTTATCAGAACATCAGGGAAGGGTGGAGGGAGAGGCCTGGAGAGCCTCAGGCCACCATGCAGTCTGAGTCTGCGGAAGGAGGGGGCTGGGAGGACTGAGTACAAGCATTCTGAGAGCGTCTGGGCCAGGCTGAGCCCGGAGCAAAGGCTGTCCCTCCCCCACCCCCAGGTAGCCCTGCCACACTGAGTCATTGGCGGAGAGCGGCCCAGAGAACGTGGCCTCTGTGCACACATGGGCGTCCAGAGGGGCAGCAACTGGGGCCACTGGTCAGCTTTGCTTCCCTAATAGGCTCCTTTGAAGGAGATCTGAAGGGTGGTGGTCCAGGGCCGTCACGCAAGGGGTTCATCTCACAGCTCTTCCTGGATTGGCTTCCCCAGAGTCGTCTTAAGGGCTTCTGTGTCTCATGCTAGTAAGTGGTGAAGCTGGGATTCCAGCTCCCATTCCTCTGACTTAATCAGGTCTGCACCTTGTTAGCTAACACGGTGCTGCCTCTCAGGGCCTCTCCCCGCCGCTGAGACGGTATCTGAGCGCACGCCCACTTGCCCACTTGCCGAGTGTACCAGTGGCAGCAAGTGACCTGATTCGCAGTTAGTTAATGTTGGGATGGAACTCTGACTTGATTTGAACCAAGGTCTGTCTGATTCTGTGTACAGTTTACTCTGATTGCTACCAGACTTTGTGAGGCTAGAGCCCAAAGACTTAGCTAGGGGAACAGGGCCTCCTAATATTCTTGTAAAAGATACATGGTTTCAGGGTCTGAAATTCAGAAGACAGAGCATAGTGCCTTTTTGGCTTTTCTTTTTTCTCTCCACCAGTGTGCGCTGGCTGTCTCCTGGGAAAACCCATGCCTATTTTGCTCATCACTGATTTCCCCTTAAATAATTTGTTGTCTTATTTAACACCATGCCTAGAATATTGTAGACAGTTGTCAAATTAAAGTTGTGATTCCTTTCTCATTCAAGCACCTTTTCCCCTGAAAGCAAAGCTGTGAGTCTCTCCCCTGCTATTGAAAACTTCAGCACAGAACTTCCTCTCCAGTCCCATGGTCTTTACAGAATCAACCCTCGTCACCTCACAGAGCAGCCCTTCCAGAGACAGTTGGAAGCTCAGGCAACTAGAGGTTGCTTTGTGTCAAGTAGCAGTTGGCCTCTGTTTTTGAGAAAGGCAAAGCCAGTGTCCATCCCTCGGAGCTGAGGCTGACGCTTATGTTTTCTCTTGCCCTGCAGTGAACAGAGTATCTGCCAAGCCCGGGCTTCCGTGATGGTCTACGATGACACCAGTAAGAAATGGGTACCAATCAAACCTGGCCAGCAGGGATTCAGCCGGATCAACATCTACCACAACACTGCCAGCAACACCTTCAGAGTCGTGGGAGTCAAGCTTCAGGATCAGCAGGTGAGTGCTGGAGTAACAGCCTAGACCCACAAGCTCTCAGCACGCATGCGGGTGCACACACGCACACATGCACACTCACACACAGACACACACGGTGCAGTGAAAAGAGGTCAGAAGACAATAAGGTCAAGGTTTAGAGTCAGAAGGTCTGTGTTCAACATCTGACTCCGTCTTCTGACACTCCAAGTGTAAAGCCTTCAGCAAACTTTCTTTTCTGAGCTTCATTTTTCACATCTGTCTTATAGAGACAGTAATCCACCCCCTGCCCTACCTCACTGTGTTACTGTCATATTAGAATATAAATAAAGCGATAGATGTGAAACAGCTTTAAGAAATGTATCATACGAATGTGTTAGTATTATTCTATGCCTGCACACCCATAAGTAATAAAGCTATGAACATTTTTGGTCTACCAACCCCGAAGGTCTTACTTTGCAAGGAATATCAAGGTGATTTGAAGATCGTTTCTCTATTAGGACATCCTGGGCAAATCAGGCAAGATGGTTTGTGAGTGTACCTGGTAAGTACCTGTGCAAATAAATAATTGTAAGTCCACCTATGTCGGGGATAGCCGTGTACACATAACTAAGACACAGTGGTCTGACGTGAGGTGGACCAAAACAGCGACGTGGAGAAAGGGCTTGTGCAGCTTAACCACGGTGACTTTGGTCGGAACCTCAGCCCCTTCTTAGAAATTGACGAGGACGTTTTTAGCAACGAAATCAGCTGATCCGTAGTTTAGCACTTTTGAAAACCTCTGCCTGAAACAGCGTTTTCTGGCATCCTTTGTCGGCCAGGCCTTGGCTGAGGCGGTGAGCAGCAGGGTAACCGCTATCTCAGCAGAACCAGCATGTGAGAAAATAGAAAAGAGAGAACAGAAACTTAGGGCTCTATTTTTAGCGTGTTGCCTATTAAATAGGTCTCTGCTGTGGCCAAAGTCGTCTTAGCTAAGTTTCAGATTCTTGTGGCTAAAAGGGACATCCTTACTTCAGAACCCCTGACAGAAGGTCGTCTGTCTAACCAGGAACTCTGGGTACCTTCCGGGGCATCCCTGTCCCTTGTCGATGCTCCTCTCTGGTAGGAAGGCTGTTCTGGGAACCTTCTAGAAGCTGCTTCCCTGTTCTTCTAGTTCATCAATTCTAGCTCTGCCTTTTAGAGGCTCACTGCACCATACACTGCAGAATATATAGCACCTTTAGCCCCAATTATGGTGACAACCAAAACATCTCGCACGTTTCACTGACACCCATGGGCGGGGCTGGCAGGGCCGTGCCACCCTAGTACTCCCCTTTGACACAAGGTCCATCACCCAGTGCGGTTCCCGAGTCACAGGGGGTGTTCCCGGGGTGGCTGCTTCTATCACAGCAAGCTTGTAGTTCCCTTCATGCTCCTTGGTTGCCCTGCAGGGCACGCTCGGAAGGTCCCACAGTGTGCTGCAGAGGGCTTGGGACCGGAGAACGGGATCCCCTGAAACCTGCACGAACCTTGTTCTCAGGAGCCTCAACGCCTCCCTGCCCCCCTCAGAGGAAATCACGTGTCAGGGCTCATCTGGGAGGAGACCTTCTCCCCATTCAGGAAGGGACTGGGAGCAGTCCTCAGTGATCTTCTGGATGAATTCAAAGAGACTCTGCTGCCTCGAATTTAGAGATTTCCTAGGGCCTGACAGAGCAGTTACCAGCCCAGCCTTCCACTTGGAATTGTATGTTTGTCAGACAGACCCCTAGAACGTGATTGAGACTCTCCCCGGTGGCGGGGGCACATTAGCCAGGAACACAAGAGATTCTCATTAAACCAAGGTGTTAGAGAAAGTGGCAGAAAACCTGGTCCGTAATGGCTTGTATGGGCCTCAGCAGAAAAAGTTGATTTTCACAGGTCTGTTTTCTAGTCATTATGGGTGACAGACAAGGTCAGACCTTTTTAGAGAGACAGGAATGCCTGGCCTGATAACCAGACAGAGCTGTCTTACATGGAAACGGTCTTTATAGCTCATGGAGCATCTTCAGATCTGATAGTTCAGCCTCCCAGTAACCCCAGGATGATAACAGTGCAAGAATTCTCACCCCCATTTTGCTAAATAGGTGGGCATAAAACCAGGTGATCATTTGTGGGAAGAAAGGACTGGTGAGTTATAGTATCATTAGCCAAGGTCTAACCTGAATCTCACATGGAGGGTGAAGAAAACCAAGATTTTTAGTTGAGAATGAGTTGTGGCCACTGAACATGTGAGTGAGTTCTCAGGCTGAATTAGCAGAAGCAGAGGTCCAGAGGGAGGGAGATGATAGTCCAGCTCTGCTCTGAGTGGTCGTGCTTCACCACAAACGCCGGGACTAAATCTGAATGCCGCAAACCAGAATCTGTAAGGAAGAGAGCGTCCACACTGGTGAGAGGTCTGAAGGTAGCGTAATATGTGGAACAGCTGAAGAAGGAACAAGAGGAGAGAAAAACAGAAGGGGGCGTGGCCACAGTTTTCGCATCTCTGAAGGGCCATCATATGGATGAGAAATCGAACTTCTGTGAAGTCCTGAGAACAGATTAGGAATACTGCATGGATATTACAGTGAAGAACATTTGATTTGAACCCAATAAAAGGAAGAACTTTGTTACAAGTACACTGTGGAGGACGGAAGGTATTGTCTCGTGAGCCCATGAGCCAGCAGGCCACTTGGTGAGCATTCTGGGAAGGCACTCCGTCACCCAGTTGAGATTTGCATGAGCTGAGACCACAAAGGCCTTTACCAGCCTGTAGATTCTGTGATTTTAGATCCAAGTGAATATGTGGGTCCAGAAGACCATTCTCCACCATCAGCTTCTTTTTTTGTAAAGGGCTCTTGAGTGTTCTTACTGGGCAGCCTCAGAAACGCATTAGATCGTACTTGTTGTTGCAGGGCCTTCCTTGAGGACAACGGGAAGGCCCCCCCGGTTTTTCCTGCACTCCCCAGAACGGAGCAAGTGCGACGCTGTGGCTGTGGGCTCTTACATACGGAAAAGTGGCCTTTTAAATTAAACCATGTTTATCCTTCAGCACTTATCTAGATTAGTCGTACCAAAGCTTGGAGAATTATTTTTAAAATAAAGCTGAGAAGGATACAGACTGTGAAAGTAATAGAGTGGAAAAAGATAAACCTTACAGACGCTAACCAAAGGAAAATGATGTGACTATATTAATGTTATACAAAATAAACTTTAAGGCAAGAAAAATTACTGAAGATAAAGAAGGACCTTTTTAATAATAAATGAGTCAATTGAAAAGGAAGACACAACAATGCTAAATTTTTAGGTACCTAATAGATCTTCAAAATATATAAAGCAAAAATGGAGAGATCTAAAGGGAGAAATAGAGAAATCCAGAGGCACAACTGCAAGTTCTAATCATACCTTCAAAAAACTGACTCAGCAAGCAGGCAGAAATCAGTAAACAGGTAATTTGAAGAGCGTTTTTAACCGACTTGACCCGATTTACATTCACAGAAACTGCAGCCGCCGCAGGAGAATGTACAGGCCTCTCGAGTGTACACTGAGCATTTTTGGAAATAGACAACATGCTTGACCACGAAGCCAACCTCAGCAAATTTAAAAAGATTGAACTCATACAGAGCTTTTCTTTGACCATAGCGGAATTACGCCAGAAATCAGTAACAGAAGGGTAACTCCTTGTTTGGAAATTAATGTTTGGAAATGCTACTAAATAAGCCATGGGACCGAAAAAAAAGAAAAAGAAAAACCACAACATAAATCAGAAAATATTTTGAACAGAACAATAATGTAAATGCAGTGTAGCAAAGCTTGTGGGATGCAAGTAAAGCACCACATATAGAGAAACGTACAGCCATAAATGCATATTTTAGAGAAAGAATGATTGAAAATCGGTGACCTAAGAAGCTAGGAAAAGCAAAAACAAAGTAAATCAACAAAAATAGAAGGAAAAATGAAAACAGAAACAAAAACCTAATGAAATAGAAAGCAGATACACAACAGAGAAAAGCAAAATGTTTTAGTTGAAGGGCAAACGAGCCTAGATAGAGCCACACGTATGTGGTCACTTGGCTTATGACAAAGGCACCAGTGCACTCAGTGGGCTAAGGGTGGTCCTTTCAACAAATGATACCAGAACAGCCAGATATACATGAAAAAAGTCTTTATGCCTAGCTCACAGTGTACCCCCAAATTAAGGTCAACCTAAATATGCAAAGTATATCAGTGGAAGAAAATTCAGGAAAATATCTTCATTATATTGGAGGGAAAATGTCTTCATGACATTGAACAGGACACAAATAGCATTAAGTGTAAAAGAAAAACATTAAGTTGCACTTCTTTAAAGTTAAGCAATTTTCTTTATTGAAAAGTTACCATTGAGAAAGTGAAAAGGCAAGCTACAGACTGGGAGAAGAGATACATATACATGTATACACACACACACACACACGACAAAGGACTCGTGAAAAGTGTGTGTGGAACTCCTACAAATCAATAAGAAAAAGACAACCTCTTAAAAATGGGCACAAGGACTTGAACTGAAATTGCACAAAAAGAGAAAAGAGCAGTGGAACAGAAGACCAACGAGCATGTGAAAGTTGCTCTCCGTCACGTCTCATAATACAAAAGGACACTGTGATCAGAGTGCTGCACACACAGCAGAAAAGCTGAAGTTCAAAGGGCTGAAGGCCAAATGTTGGTGGGAATGCAGAGTGACTGGAGTCCCCACATATTGCTGCTGGGAGGTGTAAATCACCACAGCCTCTCTGGAAAGTGATTTGCCAGAACCTACTGAGGCTCAGTATGTACCTACCCTGTAACTCACTCTTGGTTGTATACCCCAGAGAAATGAGTGCCTGTGTTCCGTGAAGACATGGATGAAAATATTCATGGCAATTCTATTCCTGACAGCCGACAGCTAGAAACTACACAAATGCCCATCAACAGGAGAATGGATGAGTTATTTATGGTATATCAAAAAACAGAATGTTGTGTAGCTGCCAAAAAGAATTAAATACTTACAAATGCAGTAACATGGATGAATCTCAGAGACATTTTGTTGCAAGAAAGAACACAAACAGAAGAGTACATATCATGTGAATCCATTTCTGTGTAGTTCCCCTTCCCCACCCCCTCCCCCAGTAACCATGGTTTATTTTCTGTGTCTGAGTCTGTATCTATTTTGTAAATAAGTACATTTGTGTCTTTTTTTTTTTTTAGATTCCATATATGTGATGTCATATCGTATTTTTCTTTCTCTTTCTGGCTTATTTCACTTAGTATAACAATCTCCAGGTCCATCCATGTTGCTGTGAATGGCATTATTTTATTCCTTTATATGGCTGAGTATCTAATACACACACACACACACACACACCCCCACAACTTCTTTAGTCATCTGTTGATGGACATTTAGGTTGCTTCCATGTCTTGGCTCTTGTAAATAGTGCTGCTGCAGACGTTGAAGTACATGTATCTTTTCACATTAGTTTCCTCTAGACATATGACCAGGAGTGGGATTGCTGGGTTGTATGGTAAATCTATTTTTAGTTTTTTAAGGAATCTCCATAGTTTTCCATAGTGGCTGCACCAAATTACATTCCTACCATCAGTGTAGGAGGGTTCCCCTTTCTCCACACCCTCTCCAGCATTTATTGTTAGTGAACTTCTTAATGATGGCCATTCTGACCAGTGTGAGGTGGTATCTCGTAGTTTTGATTTGCATTTCTCTGATAATTAACTCTATTGAGCATCTTTTCCTGTGCCTGTTGATCATCACAATGCTGCTTATCATGCATACAAACCACAAAACCTCGAGCACTTTTTCTGATGATCTAGAGCTAAACTCAGAGAGAGAAACACCCAGGAACCTGGGTGTAGATGTTGGTGAAGACTGCACTGTGTTAGTGTGTGAGAAGTTAGGGGACAGTTGTGTTTCTCTAGCTAATTCAGTACCTGGCACAGCACATGCAGGCTCGCACGCTCACTCTCTCGCTCTCTCTTTTCACTACAGGTCAGTGTAGACCCACCTTACACCTGGCTAAGACTTGGAAAAAGTTTTTGTGGGTATTGCCCATATGTGCTGTCCTGGCCTTTCTTTCTCCGACAGCACGGCAATGTAGAGTGGGAAAGGAGAGCAATAGATCCGAGGTATCATCTTAGCACTCCGGCCAGCAACCAGGGTGCCTTGGCCTTGTGCCTTTGCATCTCTGAATCTTTCCCTGAGCTCACCTTCCTGACCAGGGGGACAGTAGTAGCATGAGTTATCTCCAATTTCAGATCACGAAACCCTGAAGCCTCAAAACCAGAGATCAGAGCAGTCATCCTCTGCCTCTCCTAAAGCAGAGTCCTTTCCATCATATCACCAACAGCAGGCCGTCCAGCCTTATCCAGACTCTTCTTGTATTTCCATCTCTAGGGACTTTAATATTTCTCAGTTAACACTTACTGACAGCCTGTTGTGTGCCAGCAGCTGTGTTAGTGGTTCCATATGTGTAATTTAATCTTCACAACACTCTGAGGATGCCACACCACTACCATATCACAGTCTTCCCCGTTTTACAGATAAGAAAACATATTAAGTGAAGTCATACAGTATTTGTTTTTTTCTTATTTCACTTAGCCTAGTGCCCTCAAGATCCTTCCATCTTGTCACAAATGGCTAGATTTCATTCTTTTTACGGCTGAATAATACTCTGTTTTATGTATACACCATGGTTTCTTTATTCATACATCAGTGGACATTTAGGTTGTTTCCTTATCTTGGCTATTGTAAATAATGGTTCAGTGAACATGGGAGTGCATATAGCTTTTTGACTCCATGTTTTCATTTTCAGTTTTACTCAAAAGAGGAATTGTTAGATCATGTGGTAGTTCTATTTTTAATTTTTTTATCTATTTTTAATTTTTTGAGGAACTTTTATACTATTTTCCGTAGTAGCTACACCAATTTACATTCCCACCAGCAGTGCATAAGGGTTCCCTTCTCTCCATACCCTCACCAGCACTTGTATTTCTTGTCTTTTTGATAGCAGCCATTCTGATATGTGAGGTGATGTCTCCTTGTGGTTTGGATTTGCATTTCCCTGATTAGTGATGTTGAGTGACTTTTCGTATATCTGTTGGCCATCTGAATGTCTTCTATGAATAAATATCTATTGAGATCTTCTGCCCATTTTTTAATTGGATTGTTTGGTTTTTTGCTGTTGAGTAATACAAGTTCTTTATATGTTTTAGATATTTGTCCCTTATCAGGTACAGGATTTACAAACATTTTCTCCCATTCAGTAGGTTGCCTTTTCATTTTGTTGATGGTTTCCTTCTGCTGTGTAGAAGCTTTTTAGTTTGATGTAGTCTCACTTGTTTATTTTTGCTTTTGTTGCATTTGTTTTGGTGTCAGATTCAAAAAAATCATCACCAAGACCTGTCAAGGAGTTTACCATTTATGTTTTCTTCTAGGAGCTTTATGGTTTTAGGTCACAGATATGTGGAGGTTAAACAACATGCTCCTGAACAACCAGTGGACTGAAGAAGAAATCTAAAGAGGAATTTAAAAATACTTAAACAAACAAAAATGGGAGTATAACATGACAAAGTTTATGGGATGCAGCAAAAGCAGTTCTAAGAGGGAAGTTCGTAGCAATAAATGCCTACCTCAAGAAACAAGAAAAATTTCAAACAACCTAACTTTACAACCTAAGGAATTAGAAAAAGAAAAACAAATGAAGCCCAAATTTAGAAGGAAAGCAATGACAAAGATTAAATCAGAAATAAGTGAGGGGAGGGGGGCACAGCTCAAGGGTAGAGGACGTGCCTAGCATGCATGAGGTCATAGGTTCAGTCCCCAGTACCTGCATTCAAAAATCAATCAATCAATCAATCAATCAATCTGATCACCTCCCTACTCCCCCCTACCCCTCCAAAGAAAAGGAAAAGAAAGAAATGAAACAGAGACTAAAAAGAGAACAGAGAAGATCAGTAAAACTAAGAGCCGGGTCTTTGAAATTATAAACGAAACTGACAAGCCTTTAGCCAGACTTACCAAGAAAAAGAGGAGACTCTGTGCTCATGTGAAAATGTCCATACTACCCAAAGCAATCAACAGATTCAGTGCAGTCCCTATCCAGATTTCAATGGCGTTTTTCACAGAAATAGAACAGTAATCCCAAAAGTTATATGGAACCACAAAAGACCCCCAAATGGCCAAAGCAATCTTGAGAAAGAACAGAGCTGGAGGCATCACACTCCCTCATTTCAAACTATATTTCAAAACCATGGTAATTAAAACAGCATAATACTGGCACAAAAACAGACACATAAATCAGTGGGACAGAATAAAGAACCCAGTAATAAACCCACACAGATGTGGTTATTAACTTATGACAAAGGAGCCAAGAACATGCAGTGGGGAAAGGACAGCCTCTTCAGTAAGTGGTGCTGAGAAAGCTGGACAGCCGTGTCCTCTTAACCAATGACCTGCTTCTTAATGCACTCTGAGGACGAGGCACTCTGCAGAGGGATGCGGGAGGCATAAATACAAATTAGAGAAGACTCTCGCCCCGAACGGTCTTTGTATCTAGCAGTCTCAGTAAGGTGTGTGTCATACTGTGACCTTTGCAGTTAACCCCATTAGGTCAGTAGAGCCAGGATTATCATCCCCACTTAATAACTGGAGAGACCAAGCCCAGAGAAACGCAGTGCCGCCCTGGGTGACATGGCTGGGACCAGGACCCAGGGAGCCCGACTCCCAGCTCAGGTCTCTGCTATAGAGATCGGGGCTGTACAGCACTGTTAGTTAAGTGAAATAACTGGTTTTCTAACCCTCACTGTTCCCTTGCATCATGTTGGAAAGCTGCCTGGTGGTGCTGCCCCCTCTGACCCCATCCCCATCTCCTTGTCCTCTCATAGCCCCAGGGACACAGGATCCTTGCCCCACAGCAGCTCCCTCCAGCTCACTTACCTGTTATTTATTTACACGTATTTCTCTCTCTTTTCCCTTTCAGGTTGTGATCAATTATTCAATCGTGAAAGGGCTGAAGTACAATCAGGCAACGCCAACCTTCCACCAGTGGCGAGATGCCCGCCAGGTCTACGGTTTAAACTTTGCAAGTAAGGAAGAAGCGACCACATTCTCCAATGCCATGCTGTTTGCCCTGAACATCATGAATTCCCAAGAAGGAGGTAAGTGGGGCTTAGTGCTGGCCTGGTGCCGAGACCCTCTCTGGTTCTACCTCTGTCCTCCCACGGTGCTAGCTCCCCGGGTGTCCTCGCCCTGCAGCTGCGCGGAGCTGGTGTGTCATGGATCCTCAGAGAAGCCCACTGCCTGCCTCTAGATTTAGAGATACTCACAATTGGAAGGAGGAGAGAATGGCCTTTACGTCTTTTTTCCATGTGTGAGATGCAGATTTGTGCTGATGTGTTCCTAAAGCTATACATCAGATGTGTTATGTTTGTCATCTGCATTCTGGACACATATTTGGCAGAGATGGGAAGGAGCAAGCAACAGTTTATTCATGAATTCATTTGTTCACACTTGCACTAAACATTGAGCGTTAGAAACTGGCCAGGCGGCATAGGTAAGGAATGACTAGGTGGAGTCCTTCCCCTCGAGGCCCTTGGTATCTCGGAGCAGACAGGCTCGTAATCTGCTAACCATCACGCAGTGTGGCGAGTGCTCGGGCAGGGTCCTCAGGGAGCACAGGAAAGGAGTAAGGAACTGCCCATCTGGGCTGCCCCGGGAGGCTTCACACGGGGTGGCGGCGTTTGAGCTGAAGTTTTGAAGGACAAGGAGCTTACAAGACAGAGGCGGGAGTGGGCATCCCAGGCAGAGGGAGCAGCAAACATGAAGGCACGTGGGCAGGAAAGCCCAGCATGTGCTGGGAACCGGTACACTGCAGCGTCTCTGGGGCCTGCCGTGCAGACAGGAGAGAGGTTGGAAGTGGAATTGGAAGGCAGGTGGGGATTGCACAGTGAAAGGCTCCAACCTGGAAGACTTTGGGTGCACTTGATACTTGGCGTAGGTGGTAGGGTGGGGGTGGCAAGCGGTGCCAGCAAAAACTTCTGTGCAGGGCAGGTAAACCAGAGAGACCAAAATCTATGTGGCTTTTCTCGGAAATTTGTAGTCTTAGCTTCACAGGGAGGATGGAGGCCTCCCGGGGCGTGGGCGTCATGGTGGCCGCAGAGATGGTCTTGCACTCTGCAAGGGATCTCTTCTTGGTAGAAGGTGAAGAAGTGGACTTGGGGGCACACTGCTGCCTTTGAGCCCTGGTTCTGCCACGTCCTGGCAGAGGAGCCCTTGGACAGGTCACTTTATTTTTCTGTGCTTCAGGTTCCTTATCTGTAGAATGAGGGGTAGAAGGTTGATTGTACGTTTAAATGAGCTGGAATGTAAGATGTTTGGTAGGCAGCCTGACACACATACTGATCACCCAGCATCAGGATTTGTCTTATTACTGCCGCTGCCGCTGCTGCAGCCGGATCCAGGTAGGAAGTAGGGAGACCTGGTACTTAGAACCTGGAGGGAGGTGGCTTTTAAATGCCTACTGTGCCTAATATGCTGGAGCTTTGGGGCCCAGTTTTGGCCGTGGAGCGATTTTGTCACGTGAATAGGGAGCACACTTTGAGGACACTTCCCGCAGGCCTTGCGCAGGACCGGTGCCCGTAGAGCTCTTCCCCCGCCGTGAAAGGCCCCAGGAGTTGCGGATTTTCTGCTGAAAACTCGGGCTGCGTGGTGAGGAACCACAGCATTGTTAAGTGACAAGCACAGGGCCTGGAACATCATGGGCACCAAATAAATGTTTATTAAACTGTATTTTTTCCACCCAAGAGCCTTGAGCTTCTGGTGAAGTGAGCTGAGTTTAAGGTTTCCCATCGGAGCTGCCTCACTTGTCCCAGGATGTGAGCGTTAAGTTTTATTTTATCTGTATGTACAGATACATTAAGGCCCCCCCAAAAAAGGTTTTAATGTAATCAGATGGCTAACTCAAAGCAACTGCAACTGTTAGTTATTTTATTAACTTAATCATGAATGACAAGGAAGTCAGTTAATCCAACAGTCATTTTCAGATAAGAAACCTGTGACCTGTTCTGAAGAAATGACTTGTTGGTGCCGGGCAGTAACTCAGATTCAGAGTCCAGGCCTCCTACATGCCCTTTGGGTTGAATGGATGTCTTTGTTGGGGTAGGGGTGGATGTGTGGTCACAATGTGAGTGACCTGATTTGAAACTTTCATCATGAGTAGCAGTTATCTGTCCTGGTTCAATGGCCCTTGGTGGAGGGGGTCCTGGGCCCACTGAGAATTAAGCTTTCTCTTCACCTGGGGTGTAGCCTCCTGTACCGTACAGAAATCTGGAGTGTGAGCGCCATGCACTTCACACGTGGCTGTGCAGGGACCCCCCCCACCACACCCAGGTCCCGACAGACCATGTCCCTCTGGCCCCTCCCAGGGACAACCAGGACATCACCTGTGCCAACAGACCACTTTGGAACTTCTTGGAAATGGATCATATAGTCTGGACTTCAGTGCCTGACTTCTGTCCCTCGACGTTACGTCTGAGGGACTGGCCCACGGAACCGTGTGTCTGCAGTGGCTCCTGTCGCTGCCGGGCGCCGCTCTCCCCTGTAGTTCAGCCTGTAGAGCTGGGGCGGCGCACGGGCAGCCTCTCTAGCACGCCGCTCTGTCCGCCAGTTAGGCAGCTTGCTGCCGGCCAGCCGTGATGCGCGCTGTCACATCCTCTCTGTGCTGGGGCGTCCTCCTCTGCCCTCCTTTGGTGGGAGGCAGTTTGCTATACAGTGGGCCCTGGAACAGCGCGGGTTTGAACCATATGGTCCACTTACGTGAGGACTTTCCTCAGTAAACACGTCCGCAGCACCGTGGGTACCGGGCACCGACTGTCACTCGCGGTTTTCAACTGCGCAGAGGGTCGGAGCCCCCGGCCCCAACGTTGTTCAAGGGTTTGCTGTAGTGAAAAGAGCATTTGTTTGGAGGCAGTGAGATCTAATATTAAGTCTTTACTCTGCCACCTGTGGCCTTGGGATAATAAACCCTACTTCCTAGGGTTGTTAGGTAAGTTAAATTTAAAATATGTATAAAGCACTTAGTGTATAGTGCCTGGTATGTGATAAAAGCTCAAATAATATTGGTTCTTTCCCTTTTGGTCTTGGATTTGCTTGTCTTCTGTAAGCTTTGGCATCCTTAGTTGTAAAATGGGGTCATAAGTCCCACTTACAAAGCTGTGGAGAGGAGTCAGCTGCCCAGCGTGGGACTTGGCACCTCGTAAATGCAAAGCCGCTGCCCCTTCCTCGCCTCACTGGTGTGTCCTGTTCTGTGCTGGGATCTGGGGCTCGTGGGGCTCGTGCCCTCAGGTGGTAGAAAGACTCAGGGTCCCCTCAGCTTGGGTTTCTCAGCATTTCCCACCTCCTTCCTTGTGTGTGAGCAACACTAGTGTGGCCTCCTCCGGGGTCTTCCAACCTGGCAGACACAAGATGTTTAGACACAAACCTGAAAGCAATCAGAGCCAATCACGGACGCCCAGGACTTTGTACTGACCAGTCTTCACATCCCCCTTCTTTTACCTGATTCTTGCCACAGCCCTGGGAAGCGAGTCCCAGGTGACGTCGTTGGGTTAGGAAGCCAAGGCTTAGAGTCGGGGTGGCTTCCCCGGAATTCAGACCCCGGGCTGGACCCATTCACGCAGTTTGCTGTCCATGTGCTCAAGACAGGCAGCAGGCCATGACTGGGGTCTTTCTTTGTTCCTTCCTGCCTCTCAGACTGGTGAAGCCCACTGTCCAACCAGGGTTCTTAACAGTATTCCAGAGAAAGAGCAGGCACAACACAGTAATATTTTTGCTGCCTGACTTCTGCATGGAAGAGACAGTCAGGCACTTGATCCTTGAAAGATCTGTTTTTCTGACATTGTTCCTTGCTACCCACAAAACCTATCATTTTCTACCTGTGAGTTTTTAGTAGTGCTCATTCTTCAACCTCAGGCCCAACCTAGGGAACCCAAGGTCAATTTAGCAAGTGACATGAATAAGTTAGATAATGGTCTTAGAGTCTGGTGGCTTCAGTTCCCAGGATGGGGTCAGGAGTGCAGAGCTGGCTTAGGGCTCTCTTGGGACCCACAAAGCTCTGGGATCAGGGTGATTGGGTGGATGGGGGCAGTCAGTCACTGGGTTCTTGGTGGGGGTTTTCTATAGAAGTTGACCCCCGGAGGTTGTCTTGGCGGCGGGAGGAGGCGTCTGGCTCCTCGTGCACGGCTGTCTTCCTAGCGGAGGGGCGCTGGGTGCGGTGGAGGGGAGGCCGCCGCCTCCCTGTGGTCACAGCTGTCCTCCTTGCGGGTTGCTGGTCCCTGCTCTTTACAGAGCTTGGCCCAGCCTGTCTGGATTTCTGGGTGCCGCATGAGGAGGTTTGACGGCCAAGGATGGTGCGTGTGCTTAGGGGGCACTCAGACTGGGGCGTCTTTGGCTTATTTGGATGGCAGAGGTAATGACTATAGTAATAATGCTATCATCTAGACTTTCTCTTCAAAGTCTGGGCTCTTTGCTTCTCACCAGGCTCCTTCTCCCATGTGCCCCTCCCCCACCCTTCTTAAGGGAAGGCTCCCATTAACCAAACAGCCTGTGGGGTGTGAGGGCCCGGCAGCCACACAGGAAAACCTTATCTGGCAAAGGAAGTACTTCCTTATACACTAAAGTGCTTATAATTTGACTTTCAGTTCCTGTAGGTTGTCAGGCCAGCTACTGTTACACACATTTATTCAGACAGAAGCTTCGGATTCAAGGAGGCCACACGTCTGCCAGAATCTTCCACTGGAACTGAGACTCAAATTTAGAGCTTCTGGTTTGAAAGCCAGTGTTTTTTCTGTGTCTCTGCACTGGCTCAGTAGGTCAGAGAGGAGGGTCAACAGGCCGTGAGCCCAGCCCGCCCCACAGCTCCAGACAATCTTCTCACTTTGGGGGTCACAAGGGCTCGGGCAGGGCCGCGAGCATGGCTCATAGTGGCGCATCACTGCCACCTGCTGAAGTGAGACCGAGGACACAGGCCTCGGTGTCCACGGGTCTGCTCCGTCACAACTCCCAGACCACTGATGCCAGCTCCAGAAAGCGTGGGCCTGGACCTCCTCTGGCCGCTGTCTTCAGTGGGGCACCAGCCGCTGGGTAAAGCCGCCAGTTGTCGGCG